GGATTTCTATGTTCCCCTACCAGGTTCACTTCATTTGTAGTATAGATGCAGGACATCTAGTCTTATTTTCCCCAGATTAAGGAATAGTATTTCAAGACTTCCTGTGTATTGAAATCCTAACTCTATAAGTCACCAATGCTGGAAATTACAACTCAGGCAGGAGCTCCAAAATGAAGTCATCCTTGATTATTCAGGAATTCTACCTGAGGAATTGCTTACTTACTGTTTATGTGAACAGAGCAGTGTTCCAATGGTGAAAAAATAAAAAGACTGAAAAAGACTTATCACTAACTGTGGCAGAAGTTATGAATGACACCACTTCTTCCCTAGATGTAATAAAGATCTGTCACAACTTACTGGCACAAGTAGTGATGAACAATTGCATTGTTAGGATTATTTGTTGGCTAATCATGATAGCATCTGTGTCATTGCTATTACTTCTTTCTCTACTTGGATTAATGAAACAGACATGGTAGAATAAGCTATATATTGCCTTAAAGCACTTCTTTACACAGTGCTTCTGCACAGCTGCTCTCTTACCAGATGATTGCCATAATGACACAACAAGAAAAAGATCAAGAGGATATTCTGGTACAGTTTACTACAGAGACAACTGAATAATCCCCAAGTGGTGAAGATCTGGATCTCTTGCCTTCCCTGAATTGGTCAATCTTTCTCAACAAAGAGAAGGATCAAAAGGGAAGCCCTTGGCAGTCCTAGTGTTTGTGACTTGTTTATTTGAATAATGGAATTGTTTTCATATTGATTTGTTTGAGGGTGTGTTGCTGTGTACCAAAGAACTTGGGCTGGCTTCAGTGGCTCATGCTTGTAATCCCAGCACTTTGGGAGGCCAGTGCTGGTATCAGATCATCTGAGGTCAGGAGTTCAAGGTCAGCCTGACCAACATGGAGAAAACCCATCTCTACTAAAAATACAAAATTAGTTGGGTATGGTGGTGCATTCCTGTAATCCCAGCTACTTGGGAGGCTGCAGCAGAAGAATCACTCAAACCTGGGAGGTTGTGGTGAACTGAGATTGCACCATTGTACTCCAGCCTGGACAACAAGAGTGAAACTCTGTCTCAAAAATATAAAATAAAATAGAACTTGGCGGGTCTTTGTCCTTGTTTCCTGGGAAATAACCTATAAATCATTGGAATTTCCTAAGGGACAGAAGTGCCTTGGGGGCCACATCTGATAGTTTATGCTAAAGAAGTGACTCACAGTTGGCCTCTACTTTATGCTAATGAGATAACAGGATGGCTGCTGGCCATGCCAGAAGAGTTGGGGCTTTGAGCCATGTAATATCAGCCAAACCTCTAGGGAGAGGAGTGGGAGCTGGTGATTGAGTTCAACTGTGTGGTCAATGATTCAATCATTCATGAATATGTAATGAAACCCCAATAAAAACTCTAGACACCAAAGCTCAGATGAGCTTCCATGGTAAGCATTTCTCTGTGCATTTTTACACATTCTTGTGCCAGCAAGGTAACATGCTGCTGAGGAGACTGAAACTTTGCATTTGGGATACTCCCCATACTCTTCCCTATGCATCTCATCCTTGGGCTGGTTCTGATTTGTATCCTTTTTCTATAATTGTCATCATAAACATAGTACTCTTCTGAGTTCTGATATTCATTCTAGAAAGTTATTAACCTGCAGAGGTGGTGGGAATTCCTGAATTTGTAGCCAACTGGTTATAAGTGAAGGTATCCTGGAAAGTCCTAAATTTGTGTCTGGCGTCTGAAGTGATAGCAGTCTTGTAAGCTACTGTATCCTAACATAAAATTTGGCTTAACTCTGGGTAACTGGTATCAGAAGTCATCATAGTGCTACAAAATAACACTGAATTTCTATGTAAGCACACACATTCTCTCTCTCTCTCACACACACACACACACACACACCAGCCTATTCCTAATAGATGGAACAGTGCTAATCTATATTTGAATTTGAAAAATAACTACAGTAAGCAATATCATATTTTTCTAAAGAAATATTTAATTGGTAGTTTTTTAGAAAGAAGGCTTTTCATCTAGTACAAAAACATGAAGTCAGATGGAAGTGCTGGGAAAACTGGGCAACACAAGAGAAGCATGAGATGTGATCTGAAGCAGCTGATAGTCTGTGTAAATCAAAAATAAAATTCTAAGCCCCACAAGCAGCTGAATGGACCCTTCCTCTTGGCCAAGGGCATTCTAAAGTAAACCTGAAACACTAGTTCAGGCCATTATGGTAATGGGGTGGTCAGACATACTTCGTTATACCTTCCTCTCTTTGGAATTCAGGCACAGTAGGCCAGCATTATATTAAAACAGAGACCTTAAGACGAAAACAGGTTCTTTGTAGCAGTAAGATAATGTGACAGATAACAGGCCCTGGGAGAAATCTAAGTACTTTACCCCAAAATAAATTTATCTTAAGTCTGATAAGAAACATTTACAGTCTATTCTCTCTGAAGCCTGCTACCCTCAGGCTTCGTCTCGTTGGTCTCTACAATACCTTATCTTAACCCAGACATTCCCTTCTATTGATTCCAGGTATTTGAATAAACCAACTGCCAATCAGAAAATCTTTGAATCTACCTATAACCTGGAAGGCCTTCCCTCTGTCTCCACCCCTTCCCCACCAGTTTCAAGTTGTCCTGCCTTTCTCTGTCAAATCAATGTAAATCTTACATGTATTGACTGTTGTCTTACATTCCCATAAAATGTAAAAATGTATGAAACCAAGCTGTACCCTGACAGCACAACTGTCTCTTTTTCTCATGTATCCTTGCCATGTTAAACACTCATCAGTTTGAAGCCAGTGTCCTGCTCTCCAAAAATCCTTTGCACTGCCTATAAGATAAATCCTCACTCCTGTGTTTGGTATATAATGCCCTCTTCAGGGCTGCCCCAACCTCCTGCTGCTCCTAACAAGAGCTACCTTGGGCACATGTTCTCAGGATCTCCTGGGGCTGTGTCAGACTTGCTTCTTATCAGACTTAAAATAAATCTACTTGGGGTAAAACACTTTGCTTTCTCTCAGGACTTTTTGTCATGTTGTTATTGCTACAAAGAGTCTGTTTTTATCACTCTTAAGGTCTCTGTTTTAATGCAAATGCTGGTCAACTGTGCCTACAGGTCACTCCTATTTGCCTCAGAAGAAAATCTCTTCAAATATTTTACCATTGGACTTTTTCTGTTGTCATCTGGTTCCAGAAATACGAAGTGATAAAATGATAAAAAAAAAAAAAAAAAAAAAAAAAAAAAAAAAAAAAAAAAAAAATTAAAAAAAAAAAAAAAAAAAAAAAAAAAAATTAAATAGATCAAGACAGTGACAAGATTTACCAGAAGTCCAGATATCTTCCATTTTAAAAAAATTATGCAAACAATAAATATTTTTATATTGCAAACAGAAGATCAGACATCGTATCAGTTTTCAAGAGAACACCTCCCCAAGGAAGGGAAATTTAAACAGGTTTCTGACTGATTATATAGGGTTTAGGTAGGTGGAGAAAGTGCCCCAGGCTGATGGAACAGCTGAGGTAAAGGTTTACAGGCTGAAAAGTGGAGAGGCCTGTCTGAGGGAAGGCAAGAGAGCATTTGTGTGCAATGGAGGCTCCTGTCAGGAGCAGCAGGAGGTTGGGGCAGCCTAAAGAAGGCATTATATACCAAACACTAGGGTTAGGATTTATCTTATAGGCAGTGCAAAGGATTTTTGGAGGGCAGGGCACTGGGTTCAAACTGATGAGTATGGTTAACATGGCAAGGATACATGTGAGGAAGAGATAGATTTTAGACAAATACCAGTTACAAAACTGTGACAGGTGTCTAGGTATAAAGTGATCTCGGTAAGTACAGAAAAGGGCACTGGGAAAAAAGGGAGGGATGGAGCAAAAAAATATTTACTACTTCTGCTCCTGGAAACCTTGGCAGTTTGGGAAGAAATTTCTGTATGATTTTTAGGCTCCACAACCAGCATCTTGACCTCAGCTGTTCAAGTACTTCCAGTTCCAGATGCCTCCTGTGCATCCTACCTGCCCTGGCCAAACTTGCGGACTTTTAGACCCAGCCTGTCTGCATGGACCCACTTTAAGCTGGTTCCCTGAATTCCAGGCTCAACTTGCTCATCTAAACTTTAAATACTTGAAGGACTTCCCTCGGTATAAGTTGATCCTTATTAGGCAAGTATCCTTTGGTTTATACCAGCTCCTGGTCTAAGTTTCTCCACTTGAGTTACAAAGCCAACACAGCAGGAATTTTAAAAAGCCTGACAAGGTTCTGAGACCCAGTAAATGTAAGGTAATTATTATAGAAAATAAAAAGTGGCAGTGGCTCACACCTGTAATCCCAGCACTTTGGGAGGCTGAGGCACATGGATCACCTGAGGTAAGGGGTTTGAGACCAGCCTGGCCAACATAGTGAAATCCCATCTCTACTAAAAATACAAAAAAATTAGCTAGGCGTGGTGACAGGCATCTGTAATCCCAGCTACTAGGGAGGCTGAGGCAGGAGAATTTCTTGAACCCAGGAGGCGGAGGTTGCTTTGAGCCAAGATTGTGCCATTGCACTGCAGCCTGGGCAACAAGAGCGAAAATCCAACTCAAAAAAAAAAAAAAAAAAAGAAAAAGAAAAAGGGATACCAAAAATACACAGATAGCTTGAAATAACAAACAAAATGGAACATATGTTTAGCAATGGTTGGTATATCTGTAAATTTGATTTTTAAAAATAATTTTATTGAAGTATAATTTACCATAAAATTCACCCATTTAAAGTAAACAAGTCAATGATTTTAGTGAAGTTACCAAATTGTTCAACCATCACCACCATCTAGTTTTAGAACATTTTCATAACCCCAAAAAGATTTCTTGTAACATTTGCAGTTACTTTGTTTCTGAAGATCTGCCATTTCTGGACATTTCCTAAAATGATGCTATAAAATATGTGGTATCTGGCATCTGCCGTCTTTCACTTAGAATCATGTTTTTGAAATTTTGATCGTGTATAATACCCATAATGTAGTAATTTTAATGTTTAAACAAAGTTTCATTTCATTTCAAAAATTCCAAATCTATTAGCATAAAGATGCAGTGAAAATTGTTTTTTGCTCAATCCTAGACCACTCCATTGCCTCAGAAAGAAAGGTAACATGTGTTACCATAGAAGTGCATGGAGGTGTTGTACAGGAAAGGTTCAGTCTATTAATGTCCATACTACAGTTGTGAACCACAGGAAAGAGGCCCAGCCCAGTTAGACCACCAGGCCAAGGCATGTTGCTTTCTGAATATCAGTTTCATTCATTCTAAAATATGACTGCGCTAGATAATGGGTAGCTGTCTACCTTTCTCAGCCTCCATCCTCTGTACCCATGCATGACACCCTGCCCCACCAGTAACAGCATGAGGAGGCAATGCCCAAGTGTGGTTATACAAATGGCCCCACCAGGCAGAAAATCCCCAGACAAGGTGATTTCTCAGCTTCTTTTCAGCTCTAGTTTTATACATCTCAGGTTGGAAAGGAACTTTCCACAGATTCATCGCATTCTCAGGGTTTCTCTTTGAGGTGAAAACTGAGGCTTGAACTATAATAGTGGGTTCTCCCAGTTTCACTAAATTTGAAGCACTAGCACATGCTTCAAATTTAGTGAAACTGGGAAATTTTCTAATGTGCAAAAAAGTGGAACATCCACCAAAGCCTTTCCTACACTCATCACATTACCAGAGTTTCTAGCTAGTATGGAGAGTTCTATGGGGTTTATAAAGCAATGAGGTTTGGCTGAAGGCTCTCCCACATTACCCACATTCACAGTTTTTTCTCAAGTATGAATTTTCTGATGCTTAATAAGGATGAGCTCTGACTGAAGGCCTTCCTCTATTTTCTGCTTTCATAGGGCTTCTTTCTAGTATGTGTTATTGATGCTTAGTAAAGGAATAAATACAATTGAAGATTTTACCATACTTACCACACTTGCAGAATTTCTCTCCAGTACAAGTTATCTGATTTTCTTAAAGAATCAACATGTAACTGAAGGCTTGCCATACTCACTGCATTAATAAGGGTAGTCCCCAGTGTCAGCTGTTTGATGCTGTATAATGTGCATCCTCTGATCAAAGCCTTCCTGCATTCAATACACTCACATTGTTTTTCACTAGTATGGGTTCTCCGATGTGTGGTAAGAGAGGGGATATGGCTGAAGCCCATCCTCTCTTGACATTGATAGGATTCTCTTTAGTAATTAATGCCTGATGTGGAACAAGATGTGATCTTCTCATATACATGACACCTTTAGGATCTCTCTCTGATATGAATTCTCTAAGTACTGGTGATGACTGCACTCCAGCTGAAAGCCCTTCTATATTCACTGAATTCATAGGAGTTTTTTTCCAGCATGACTTCTCTGATGTTTAATAAGAGATGCAGTATGAGCAAAGACCCTTCCACACTCATTACATTTGTAGGGTTTCTCTCCAGTGTGAAATCTGTAATGCTGAGTGAGAGATGAACTCTGGCTGAAGGCTCTCCCACATTTATTACATTTGTAAGGTTTCTCTCCAGTATGAAATCTATAATGCACAATGAGTGATGAGCTCTGGCTGAAAGTTCTCCCACATTCCCTGCATTCATAGGGCTTTTCTCCGGTATGAGTCCTCTGATGCTTAATAAGGGATGAAGTGTGACCAAAGGCTCGTCCACATTCATTACATTTATAGGGTTTCTCTCCAGTGTGAAATCTATAATGCAGAACAAGAGATGAACTCTGGCTGAAGGCTCTACCACATTCACTGCATTCATAGGGCTTTTCTCCAGTATGAGTTCTTTGATGTTTAATAAGGGACGAAATATGACCAAAGGCTCTTCCACATTCATTACATTCATAGGGCTTTTCTCCAGTATGACATCGCTGATGGCGCCTAAGTTCTGACTGGAAGTGAAAGGACTTCCCACATTCATTACATTTACAAGATTTCTTCTCTGGATGGGTTCTCTGAGAGTTATTTCCCCCTGAAGTCTGTCCAAATTCTATATCACATTTATAAGATCCCTCCCCCATGAAAACTCTGTGTTGGTTAACAAGGACTGATCTTAAACCTAAGCTTCTCCCAAATCCATTCCATTCATAATTTCTGCTAAGGATGGTAGCAAATTTGTGAGTGGTTGACATTTGTTTCAGGTGTGTCTCCTGTTTTATCTGCTGCATCTCTACCTGGCCGTCACAACCACAGGCTGCTTTCAACTTCGAGAACTGTAGCCCATCTGGAATATGTTTTTCTACTGATGCTACCTGGAATAATTCTTTGGAAATTCCCTGATTTTGCATTGATTCCTTGGATTTAGACCTTCTCTCCCAGTCTGTTTAAAAAAAAAAAACAAAAAAGACATTCTAGTAATACCTGTCCTATGTGTCAAGAGAAAGCAAGCTCCTATAATGAATATAAAAAAATTAAGCTTTAAAATAATACCTAAAGGGGATGTACGGATTTTTTCAATAACTGCTTATGTCTGAAAATGGTTTTATATCAAGAACAAATGATGAGTAGATGACTTGAGATTAAGAAAATCTGAGAGATGTGTGTTTAGATTCCAGTACACAAGGTAAGTCCAAAGACTAAAGATGACAGGAGGGTAGGAAGAGTGACAAGGGAAACAGACTAAGTTTAAGGCATGAGGACAAAAATCAATAAACCAACTATAGGATTGTAAATCACCCAGGTATGGACTCTATATTCTCACAATTTCTTCAGGCCTATATAATTGTAACAGACTTCTGCCCAGTCTTCCTATCGCCAGGTTTCCTGAAACCCTTCACTTTCTTCTTTTCCAAATGCCCATTTCCTGAAGTTTCTTCCCAGTCTTAATCTTCCAAAGGCTCTCCAATGCTTTTGGAAAGCATTATTAAGGATAAATCCTTAATCTTTTACTCTAGCTCTATAATACTTTACCATGTCTTGTCGTCTTTTTCAGGAAGTGCCTTTAGCACAGAAACTGGCTGCCTTCCTGTTTCCCATATATCCACACCCCCTCTCACCACCCTCTTTCTTTAAGACTTTGCATATCTTTCAGGAATAAGCTCATGTCGTCCATGAAGTATTCCCTTAATACCTTAGTGCACATCCTATGTTATGTATTATGCACATATACATATAATATGTGTATATAATTATGACAGGAAGAGTAATTCTCCCCTAAAGATGCCCATGCCATAATCCCCAGAACCTGTGAAAGAGTTAACCTCACATGGCAAAAAGGACTTTGCAGATGTAGTGAAGGGAACAGACCTCGGGATGGGAAGATTATCCTGGATTATTTAAATAGGTCAAATCTAATCATGAGTGCTTAAAATCAGAGAGCATATCCTGGCTGGGCAGAAAGATGTGTAAACCTTTGCTGGCTTTGAAGTTGGAGGAGGGGCACTTTCAGCAAAGTAATCTGGCAGTCTCTAGAAGCTGGGAACACCCATCTGTTCATTGCCAGCAAAAAAACAAGGACCTCGGTTTTACAACTGCAAGGTATTGGTTCTGCCAACAACCCAAATGAAAAGAAAAAAGGTGCCCGGACACTCCAGAAAGATACACAGCCCTGTAGACATCTTGGGTGGAACCATGTGATACACATGCCAGACTTCTGAACTATGAACTATGACATAATGAGTTTGTGTTGTTTAAAGCCATCAAGTTTGTGCTACTCTGTTTCAGCCACAGTGGAAAATTAATACAATAATAACACACTTCACTATTGATGCCTAACCAGTGGTCCCAGAGGCCAGTCCTCACAGAGATTCTGAGTCAATAGGTCTTATGTGGTTCCTGGGAACCTGAATGTTTAACAAGCTTCCTGGGACATTCTGAAACATAGCCATGCTTATACACCACTGTTAAATAAACAGATTACTAGATCCAGATGTCAGACCCTTGATCTCATTTTGGAAGGAAAAAAGATCAAGTACCAGTACAGAGAAAATAAGCATCTTCTCTCTCTGCCATAAACTAGGTTCCTATCATAAAGCCCAACCTATCCTCTCAGGAATTTAGCACCACTTTCTTGAGCTTCAACTCTGGCCAAGGGGTAAGATTCTGGCTCATGGAAATGAACTGGCATAGACTGTCACATACCTCCAGTGTGGTTGGGTTACACATGGCAGTCAGGAAAGCTTTGAGTCAAGAATTCTGCTCCAAGGCATATAGCCTACCAGGTACTCTCAAGTCACCTAAGAATCAAAGGTCTCAGAGGGATGCTATCAACAGCTGTCAAGGAGGAGTCTTTGTTCCTGGAACCACTTTTGCTGAAGTTCAGCTTAATCAAGCTTGAAGTGTCCTTACCTGGATCTTCCTGACATCCTCTGTCTGTCCTTGCCTGTAACCCCTTCATTTCTGGGATGCTCAACTGCTCTGTTTGATCCCTCACTAACTCCCTTAATTCTGCTGATCCAGGATTACCTGGCTCTATATGATTGTTGATCCATCTAACATTGACTGTGAGACATCAAGTGATGCTGCATAGCATCAGTAACCCAGAAGGCATGGGCAGAGATGGGTACCAAACAAAGGATAAAAACTAGAAAAGAAAATGAACATCTCCTCTTCTGACACCAGAAATAATTACAAAATTCAACACACCAGAGTTGAAGTCTCCTGCCAAGTGATCTCAGCTTCTGAAAGGACAGCTCCCTGATCAAAAGCTCAGGGCTACCTCCCACCCCAGCTGGGTCTTATCATATGCAATGCCCTCACTCACTCACTCACTCACCTGAGTGGGCTCCTATTGAGATTTCTCTCTTCACCATGAAGGGCTCGCCCCCTTCCTCCAACTGGCAGATCACATATGGTTTGGATACCAGAAAGCCTGACGGTAGAGAAAGAAAAGGATTTTGGTTGTGTGTGCCAGTGGCCAAGTCTTTAGATATTCATCTTCAGAAATGCTGTAGGTATGGAAAGCCTCCAGAGAATAGGCTTTGTGAAAAGTCAGAAACACAGCCAGGTAACTTCCTATTTCAACTCCATATGTAGCAGGACGTTTCCTAGAACTAGGAACAGAAACACCATATCACTGGGCCCCAAAGAGAATGTAAATGTCTGATTCCAGGCTTCCCAAGGAAACCCAAGGTAAAACTCAGCCAGCCAGCCCAGATACTGCTAGCTCTTAAACACCAAGGAAATCAAGAAGTCCTGCTGGGAAGGCTTGGAGCTTTGGAGGCCTTGAGCTCACCCAGGAGGGTCAGGTTCCTGAAGTTCTCCAGCATCACCTCCCTGTAGAGGTTCTTCTGAGCAGGGTTCAGCTGCCCCCACTCCCACTGTGTGAATTCCACAGCCACATCCTCGAATGTCATCAGGTCCTGAAACACAGAAGACACTCTGGTACCCTGAAGGAGCACCCTCATAGCCCTCAGGAGAAGAGCAGACAGGTGTCTAAGGAGAACCTCAGGATGTGCAAGAAGGGATTCTGAGTGCCCAGTAGCTATCCCAGTGCCCACAGAGTTGTGGGTTTTGTTGTCTTAAAAATACTTTAAGCTGCTCCAGGGATTGTATCATCCTTACTACTTGGTATCCCACCCAGCGTCCACTTGTATGCCTATCAATGTGAAACTGCTAGGAAATATAATCATGGTCTCAGGTGAATCAGGCCTATGGAGACGTTCTTCTTAGGCAGTGGTAAACATAATACATTTCCTCATTTGTCAAAAGGTTTTATTCTCAATCTAGTTACATTTATTTGGAATCAATTAGAATTAACAGATGAATATGTTTTGCATTCTCAAAAGCAAAAGGATCAACAGTCTTCTAATAAAGCATTTTTGAAACTTGTAACCTATGATTTTAGCAACAATTAGGCCAATTCAAGTAATCTAGGGCTTATGAAAATTTATCCCCCACCTGCCTGCCAGCACACAGTTCAGCAAAAGTAAATCAAGTGGCTTTATGATGAAACAATAAGTTTTGTGAGTTTGACTAGCGTGATCCTTTCCCTCAAAGCCTAATCATTATTCAGTTCCTAAGTTTATAAAGCTGAGTGTGAGACCCTGGATCCCAGGTCACTATTATAAGGCATAATCATTGTATCCTGGCCAGAACTATCCTGTCACCTTCAATCTCAGTAATTAGAACACCTCCCATTTGGCTTATATTGTATGGCAATGCACTAAAAAGCAGATTAGGTGAAACACTACTATAAATTCCTGCTACTGTTACACCAAAGTATTTAAAAGTCAAATCCCTTTTAGATACAGATTACATAGAAAAGCTGAAATAACAATTTTATAATATAAAAATCATCCAATATAATCAAACATGAAAAATTACAGTGACATCTTGTGATAGGTTATTTGTCCAAAATATCCACTGGCCCTCCCTAAAGAATTAAGCTTCTGCCCAGGTGAGGCTATGTCATCTGCTTTCTCAAACTGAATGTGAAAGACACGAACTACAGGTGAGCAAAAGCCTTCAGAGCTAGTGGGGGTTCTGCAATTGTCCTTTTCTGTCTGCCTTGAGAATGGCAAATTATCTGAGGGAAGATGTGGGCAAAGCCACAGCTGTCATGTAACACAGGCAAGAGGGAACCTTTTGTGGTATAAGTCTCGGAGGGTTTGCTGTTGTTATCATGGCATAACTAGCCTACACTGACTCATTAAAAAACTGATACTCACAGTGGAGTTCTGCCATAACAAAAAGCCAAAAATAGATGACACTGTCTTCCAGGCCAGGCAGTAAGGAAACTTACTGGCAAGGTGGCAACCCATGTAATTTGGTGGTGAACTGTTGGATGAAACTATTGCCTTCAATAACTTGAAAGATGAACAATGAAAGCACGAGCTTCTGATGTTATGAGAAGAGGCTGGAAACATAACATTAGTAGTGTGAGTTGGCTGTTATTGGCTGCATTTGACAAAATATTACAAGAAAAAATGAGCTTAAGGGTTTGTGGTTTGCAAAACAAAAATGGAAGGCGACAGGAAATGTACAGAAATGCTAGGACTTGCAGGGTTGGAAACAACCAATTCTCATTTCCAACTGGCCAAAGACAATATACACAAGCTTCTGCATGACAACAGCTAATTAAAACTCAGCCCATTATCAGGGACCAAATCATGGATGTGGTTGTCAAACCTTTTGTTTAAACCTCCGAGTAATTTCAAAAAGCCCCCAGTAAATCTCCCAGTCATTTCAAACGGCTCCCAGTAAATTGTTCAGAGTGAAAAAAGTATGGGCTTCCTAAGGAAATCCAAAAAGCACCACAATGAAAGAGGCATATTTCAGAAAGAATTGTGGGTCAAACCACTGACACATGGAGCCATCTGGAAGCAAATACATAAAAAGCTGATTATGTTTTTGAGAGTTGCACTGAAAACAATCCTGGGTTACCAACCTACTCCAGCAGGATGAAAAAGCTGCTTTGCCCCCAAGAAAGTTTATTGTCCAGCATCATCTTCACATGCCATCAAAGAGGTATCAAAAGGAAGGAACTTCCCAAGGGCAAAGCTAACAGTCAAGGAAAACACTAGGCTGGAGAGCTCCACCCAGGGAACAGAACCAGGGCATAATCTAGAGACTTCCCAACTCCCAAGATCAAGGGTTCTCACAGCGTCTGTCCAGTAGAATTTCATGACTGTTGTGGGACCTGGGACTGGCTCCTCCTTTCTGCAAAGGAGTGTTTACCATGGCATCCTATCCCCATTGCTCAATGTATGTTGGACATATAGATTCAGGTAATTGTCCTTTTAGTTTATAGGTCTCCAGACCCACAGGATCTCCATCCAGACTATCGTGCCATCCAGAACTTTAATCATGATGCTCTGACTGGATGAGGCTCTTGGGTTAATTCTCTTGGGGGGCATTTTGTGTGCAGGAGGGAGGGAAGCGAACATCTACAGATAAGAAAATCACAGTGATAGATGAATTATTTGCTTAACATAATCCCTGCCCTTCCATTTGGGATCCTTACTCTAGGAGGCTGATAATTCCCACTTCATTAACACTAGGCTTGGCCACGGGACCTGCATCAGCCAGTGGGTTGTAAGGAGAAGCCACACATGCCACTTCTGAGTTGAAGCCCAAAGAGCCATCCCCTGGTTCTGACACTGCTCTTTCCCTCTAATACAAAAACAGCATACTCCAGAGGGGGTTGACCCTTCAGCCTGAAACCCAGAGAGAATAGGGTGTGGAGCAGAGTCACAGTCAGTCTGCTACTAATAAAGACAGCAGAAAGAAGAAAGACACTCTTTCTAACTGGAAACCATTGAGATATGGGGCTGTTATTACCACACTGAACCCTCCTGAATGATGTACATCAGGGCCAAAAAGATTTAAATGCTATATATGACTCTACTGATTACTTGGGAGAGAATTCCTTACTGGAAGGGGTTCCTTTCCTTTTGGCTTGAAAGTTAAATATCAGTGTCTATCATCAAGCCTGAATCCCACACCCACCCCGGATGTCAGGAAACACTGCAGGCTGCCATTTGCATACCTCCACATCCAGCTCACTAAAGCCAAATCTGAATCCCCCTTGAGGGCTAGTCACCATGATCCCCGAGGCCGACAAGGATTAGGCAGTTACCATTTTCCAGCAGACTCTAACAACCATATGAGGCGGTTGTATGACTGCATCATTAAGATCTCGGAGCTAGACAGCCTGGATGTGAAACTGGGGTCCCTTCCTCACTACCTAGATAACCACAAAAAAGTTACTTTCTCTCTCTGTGCCTTGATTTCTTCAGTTTACCTCTCCATGTTTTGGTTACCATTCTTCAAACTGGTAACCATTTTACAGGAATGTTTTAGAGACAAAATGAATTAGTATATGTAAATTGTAGAGAATAGTTCCTGATACAGGTTTTGTTCTCTATAAATGATAATTATTTTCATCATCATTAACATTATTATAGTCTTCATGTTACAGGTGGCAAACCAATGCATAGAGAGGTTAGGTGACTGGTCTAAGGCCACACAGCCTGTAAATAGTACAGTGTGTCTCCTCCCTAATCCAGGGAGAAAACATCTGAACAAGGACCCAGCCTCAAATGGCCTGCCCACCTGCCCATATCCTCAGAACCCTCTTGTCCCCAGTTCTCCACGAGCTTTCCCAACCTCTTCAGAACAGGCTGATTCTCCTTTTCGTGAACGCTGATGGAAAGGCCTGTCTGTGCCACTCCATTTGCCATCAAACCATGCACATCCTGTTACTAGTGGCTGCCGCTTGGGTGTCAGGGTCCTCTCCCAATGTGGGTGTGACACTCCTTCAAGGCCAGGGCTGTCATATTACCTGGTGGTCACTACAGTGCCATTTCCAGAAATACGCCAGAGTACGCCCAAACAATCCGAGTGGGTGCATAGAAAGAAGAGAACACCCCGGGCAGGGGCGGGGAGCCATTATTCACTTGGATGGGCTCAGCCTCCTGAAGAAATGGCATTGGGTCAGTTCCCTTAGTGAACAAAGAGGCTACTTTTTGGTGAAAAGCAGGCAAAGCTAACCACGGTTCAGCCATTTGAGGAAAAATTAAGAATACAACTCACCTGAGGCCTGGCTTTCAGGAATGAATTGGTTGTTCCCTTTTCTCCCAGGAATCTCTCTGGAGGAAGAGCAGGGTCCTGAGAAGAGGAAGCTGGGAAGGTAGAAGGAGCCATATGGGAAGCTGACCCTGCTGGCACACACAGCTCTCAGACTCCCCAAGCCTGAGACCCTGCACAGCTCTGCATGTCACCTCCATGGTCCTGAAGACATCAGTGGATCAAAGGGAGCTGAGAGGTAGCTTCTAGCCTTCAAACATTGAGAGAAGTGCCCATGTACACAGGCCCACTTCAGTCTACAGGTGGGTAAAGTGTGACCAGTCTGGTCACACCACTGAAGTTATTTGCTGGGCACACTGTATGCAGGCAGGTCTTCTCCTAGGACTTTTGGAAATACAAATATGGAAAATACCTTAAAGGTACTTTAAATCTAGCCTACGGGTTAACAACTACACAACAAGACTCAAGGCAAGGCCATAGGGGATTATGAGGCTTTAAGGGGAGGAAGCTACACCTCTCCCCTCATCCTAGGGAACCCAGCTTAGAGGGCAGCTCTTCCTGACAAGCTGCCCCTCGTGTTCCCGAGCGCTGTTAGGTCTCTGCAGCACACTTGAGAGCTCCTCCGTTATAAAGCTTTGTATTATACTGCTTGTAAAGCCTTAAAACAAGCCAAAAAAAAGAACCCAAATCATGCCAGAGAAGTAAAGGCTAATAACAACGTGGATGTAAGCAGGCAGCATAGCATAGTTCAGCACTCCTCCAGGTTCATGTGCATGTGGATCCCTGAGGATCTTGTTGAACTCTGGCTTAAGACATGCTAAGACCCTGGTTGAGGGGGGTGTGGGACCCAAGAATCTGCAATTCTAGAAAGCTTCTAGGCAATGCCTCTGCTGGTTCCGGAGCCACACTGATTAGCAAGGTTATAAAGGAAAAAAGAAGGGGTGGGAGGCCCAGTTCTTCCACCGGCCAGTTCTGTGTCCTTGAGCATGTGTACTGAAGGATGAACAGTCGGATTAAAACGCCCACCTGGTGAAAGATAGGACGTTCTAAACTTAGGAATGGCTTAAAACCTCCTGGGTCACCTGGATTGCTCTATCCCCAACACTACTGGGGGACGGGGCTCACAGGAGGTGCCCACCATGTACACTGCTGACGTTGTACATCGCTGAGCCAGAAGGGCTGGAAGAACCTTATTACTGAGGTGATTAAGGAGGTGGATGACAAGGCTCCAAATGGCCCCACTGTTCTCTGATCCCTGGCCAAGGGCCACTCCCTCAGGTTTGCTTGCTCTCTCATTGCCGCAGCAGGAAGAGATCAGATCCCCTCCTGCGCTACTCTCCCTCCTCTGGCTATTGGGACAATTTTCCGTGGCCAACCCCTCCACCTCTGCGACGGTCATCTAGAGATCCCTGCCAGACCCAGGAGACTGCTGCTTCAGCCTCCTGGGTCTGGAAGGTTAGATATCGCCACAGGGCAGTACAGCCTTCCTCCTCAGCGGGATTCCCCGGCCTCTTCCTAGGCTCCTGCTGATATCCGCCCCGTACTAGCTCCCCAGGAGGGATCTTGGCCCTCGGCACGCTCCAGAGCCAAACCTGATGCTGTGGAGTCCATAGCTGGGGCTAAGGAGCGGTGTCCTTTCACTAGGTCCAAATCTCTGTCTTTTGTTCACAGCCCTGAGGTCCTCCCGAGGGTTCAGGTAGCGGGGCGCAGGCTGGGGCCGCCTGAGGGACACGGGGCATCCCCACTAGGCGCGGCGGGGCCAGCAGACCTGCAGGGCCGACAAACCCGGTGCTCCGGGAGCGGCGCGCTGCCCGGGGCCGTGCTCTTCCCCCGTGCTCCTCCCCACGGCTCGGCTCTGCCGCCCTCCTCCTCAGGACGAGGCTCTGGAACCCAGCTCCCACGTGGATCTACACGCGCAGGGGACTCAGACCACCAGGAGATGCGGCCACAGCCACGCCCGCGACGCTTGGGGCCCAGCGCTCCTCAGCGGCCCGGAGACAGCAGGGATTCGGTGAGAGCCTCACAGGGGCAGGGATTGGGCCTGCCAGCTCGGCTCGCCCCGCTGCCCGCCCCCCCAGCTCCGGCCTGCATAGTATCTAGCGGGGGGCACCCGGAGGGACACGTCCAGCTCTGTAACGGGCGGGGACGAGAGCCCAGCGCAGATGTGAGCGCCCGCAATCTTTGAACCCGCAAGGGCCAAGCCCCACTCTGCGCCAACCCCGCCTCCCGAGGCCGTCCCGAGCTTGCGCAGACGCGGCCGCCGCCGGGACCCTGCAAAGGTAGCGCCGGGGGCTAGGCAGCGAGGCCGGAGAGGCGGGGCTCGCGGGCGCCTGTACCACCTCCACTGGGAGGGGCCGTGCGCTCCTGCCAAGTGCGAGATTTCACCAGGCTGTACCCCAGGGGCCAGGACCTGGAAGCATTTCCCCTCTTGCGCGTGTCTTTGGTAGCTGAGCTCCATCTCTCTCTCTCTTTTTTTTTTTTTTTTTTGAGAGAGTCTCTGTCGCCCAGGTTGGAGTGTGGTGGCGCGATCTCGGCTCACTGCAACCTCCACCTCCTAGGTACAAGCAATTCTCGTGTCTCAGCCTCCCTGGTAGCTGGAATTACAGTTGCCCACCACCACGGCCAGCTAATTTTTTGTATTTTTAGTGGAGACGGGGTTTCACTATGTTAGCCAGGCTGGTCTTGAACGCCTGACCTCAGGTGATCTGCCTGCTTCGGCCTCCCAAAGTGTTGCGGCTACAGGCGTGAGCCACCATACCCTGCCCGCATATCTCAATGTAGGGCTGTCCAACAGAAGCCGCGGCCCTACCCTGGATCTGCCCTGTGAGGATTTCCAGGAGGTTCTCCCAGCAAGCCTAGGAGATACTGGGTGCTCAGTGCTAGATACCGCTTCTACAGGCTGCCATGTGCCTCTTGCCTTTCTAAAACTTCCCCTGAATTCAGCGAAGGGTGATGGAGAACAAGAGAGGACTTCGGATGCCCAAACAAATATCATTTAGGACCCAAAAGAAATGGAGAAACGGTCTGCTATGGTCTGAATGTATGTGTCCCACTCAGATTCATATGTTGAAACCTAACTTCCAAGGTGATGGTATTAAGAGGTGGAGCCTTTAGAAGACTCTGCCCTCATGAATGAAATTAGTGCCCTTTAAAAACAGGCCTCAGACAGTGGTTCACACCTGTAATCCCAGCACTTTGGGAGGCCGAGGAGGGCAGATCACTTGAGGTCAGGAGTTGGAGACCATCCTGGCCAACATGGTGAAACCCTGTCTCTCCTAAAAATACAAAAAATTAGCCAGGAGTGGTGGCAGGCGCCTATAGTCCCAGCTACTTGGGAGGCTGCAGCAGCAGAATTGCTTGAACCCAGGAGGCAGAGGTTGCAGTGAGCTGAGATTCACCACTGCACTCCAGCCTGGGCGACAGAGCAAAACTCTGCCTCAAAAAATAATAATAATAAACATAAATAAATAAAAATAAAAACAGGCCTTAGCCCCCTTTGCCCTTTCTGCCATGTGAGGACACAAAACATGACATCTATGAGAAAGGCACCCTCACCAGCCCCTGAATCAGCTGTCATGTTGATACTGGATTTCCCAGCCTCCAGAACTGCGAGCAACAAATTTGTATTGTTTACAAATTACCCAATTTAAGATACTCTGTTATAGCAGCACTAATGCCTAAGACACAGTCTGAGTATTAAAAGGGTGGTTTTCTGGAGGCAGTCCTTAGCCAGAGAAGGGCAAGTTGTGTGGACGGAGAGATTGGTTTATCAACCGAATTTAGGAGTTCAGGACAAAATAACTTACAAAATCAAAGCAAAGAGGCCATTCTCCTTTCCTGCTTTTTACAGTCTCTGTTTCACTTTTCTGCCAGAACTTCTAGTGGCAAGTAAGCCCTCTTCCATGCAAGGGGACACTGTCTTGGAACAATGGCTTGTACAGGAGCTTTTCCATCTTCAGTTATCTGAACCAAAAAGGTAAAGGGCTGCATAAATGAGAAAAGATTTTCATCTTATTGATGGCTCAACAAAACTAGAGATGGAACTACTTCAGATGAGCTTGAGGGGCACCGTCTTTCCGTGATGCCCATCCTGTGGGCCTGCTACAGTGTCTGAAATTCCCCACTCTTACATTCTGTCCTTTGGGACAGATCTTGATCCAGTGGTCCTTTACAATGCACATTTATTACCCAGGAATATTTTCTCTCCTACCCAGTGCTCTTGTGTGCCGTTTGATCTCAAAGCACTGTTGGTGGAGCTCGTCCTGACGAGCCTATAGGCTCTCCACCACCTTCAACATTCCTTTTATTGCTCCTTTGCAGTCAGATGCCTCTTCCACCTCAACATGTGACCACTGCTCTGTTACCTGTCCCTATAGTCCCTATAGTTATGCCTTTTCCTGAATGTCAAATAAATAGAATGATACAGTTTTTAACCTTCTAAGACTGGATTCTTTCACTCAGTGTTAAAAGTCCTTGAGAGCCATCCGAGTTGTCATGTGTATCAACACTCCTTATTCCAAGCCAGCTGTCTTTTAAGGAAGGTTGTTATAAGGTGCTATACAACCCATTCACTTACCTCCCATTTGCCAAAACACAATCACATCTAGCTGCAGGGAAATGTAGTTTTGTTTTGTTTTGAGACAGGGTCTTGCTCTGACACCCAAGCTGGAATGCAGTGGTGCAGTCATGGCTCACTGAAGTCTCAAATCCCTAAGCTCAAGCAGTCCTGTGCCTCAGCCTTCTGCAGCTGGGACTACAGGTGTGCACCACCATGCCCAGTTAATTTTTTTTTTTTTTTTTGAGACAGGGTCTTGCTGTCACCTAGATTGGAGTGCAGTGGCGGAAACACTGGCTCACTGCAGTCTTGACTTCCAGGGTTCAAGCAATCCTCCTGCCTCACCCTCCTGAATAGCTGGGACTACAAGCATATACCACCATGTCCAGCTAATATTTTTTAATTTTGTAGAGACAGGGTCTCACTATGTTGTTCAGGCTTGTCTTGAACACTTGGGCTCAAGAAATCCCTCCACCTTGGCCTCCCTGTTGGGATTACAGGCATAAGCCACCATGCCTGGCCTGTAATTTTTAAATTTTTCCTTCACAGAGACAGGGTCTCACTATGTTGCTTGGGCTTGTCTTGAACTTTTGGCCTCAAGCGATCCTCCCACCTCAGTCTCCCAAAGTGCTGGGATTATAGGCATGAGCCACTGCACCTGGCCTAGAAATGTGGTGTTTACTCTTGTGCCTCACTAAAAATCTATTACCATGGAAGATGGAAAGAAAGGATTCATCAGATTTTAAGAACAATATTGATAAACTAGTTCATCTACAGGAATAGCAAACAGTAAGAGCATCTCTCTAAATCACACTACCCTGAAGAAGATGGCTGATCCTAGTCTAAAGAGCTAAAGAAGCTTTAAGAACTAATTATAAGAAAGAAAAATGTTGGTGACTGGCTGGTGCTTTTGTAAGGCAGAATTGAAGTGCAGAGAGTTCTAGACATCTTCTGTGTGCTTTGGCAAACAGAGCTTCCTTAACTAACATGGGATGGTAGAGAACCATCATCCACACCCTCTAAGGACTCCATGATAAAAACAGGAACTGTCTGACAAATAGCGCTTAGATATATACAGTCATTTCTGGTGGACTAAAGATGCCTAATGGTAGCCAATTTGCACAAAGATATTAAACAAAAACACAGAGGTGAAGAGCCAGTCTGCTCTGGAATCAGATCTAAGTATCAGAAGAAACAACATTTTCAGATACAGTGTGAGATTGTGCCTGAATATGTCTCTTCCATCTCAACCACCCAGCTTCCAGATGACACACATGCACCTCAGGAATAAGAGCTGGTAGTGTGGTATAAAACAAAGAATATTACCACTAAGTACCCAAATTCTTTGCTAGGAGATCAGCCGTGTCCTCCCTCATAGACCAAGTGGTAAAACTGAAAATACTTATCACTAAGGACCCATGCCATTCTATTAAGGTACCACATCTAAAAACACCACCTGCTTTTAGACACTTTCTTCAGAGAAAGAGATGGAGGAAGTTGGAGAGCTGGTTAATGAGTACCAAGTAGCAAAAGCAAAGAGAAAGATGCTCTGAGAATCAAGGTCAAAGGGTAGCCAGGAAGATGAGTCCTGGAACTGCAAAACGCATCCAAGAAGGAGTAGAGCTTGATGGAAGAAGCAACCTGCAGCAGCTCAGGCAGCAATTCAGGAGGTGAGAACAGAGGCAAAACAATGAAGCACAGCAAAAGTCCCCACTGAAATACAGACACTGAAAAGCTTCAGCAGAATCTCTCATTACAAGTGATCCTTCTCTTCTACACTCCACTCCCCTGCACCCCACTTCTTTCCCAGAGAAACTTTTGTAAAAGAGGAAGGCTGAAATCCTACAGGGCAGTCTTTTTTTTTTAATGGCCACAAATTATTTGACATAGTCAGCCCCCCATATCTGCAGTTTCCACATCTGAGGACTCAACCAACTACAGATCAAAAACATTTGAAAAAAAAAATGCAATAATAAAAATTAATATTAAAAAACAGTGAAGTATAGCAATGATTTACATAGTATCTACATTGTATTAAATATTATAAGTAATCTAGAGATGATTTAAAGTATACTGGAGGATATGTGTAGGTTATATGCAAATACCATGCCATTTTATATCAGGGTTTTGTGCATCCATGGATTTGCAAGGGGTTCTGGAACTAATCCCCCAAGAGCATCAAGGGACAATTGTACTTCCCTTTGAGAGGTGGGCTCTATGGTGCCTCCTGCTGGACTTGGGTAGGCTAAGGACTACTTTAACCAGTAGAGTACAGCAGAAGTGACACTACTGATTTTTGAGGTTAGGTCATAAAAGGCCATGAAGTGGCTAGGCACAGTGGCTCATGCCTGTAATCCCAACAGTTTGGGAGACTGAGGCAGGCAGATTACCTGAAGTCAGGAATTGAAGACCAGCCTGACCAACATGGAGAAATTAGCTGGGTGTGGTCACACATGCCTGTACTCCCAGCTACTTGGGAGGCTGAGGCAGGAGAATTGCTTGAACTCGGGAGGCAGAGGTTGCAGTGAGCCGAGATTGCACCATTGCACTCCAGCCTGGGCAACAGTTTTTTGTTTTAAAAACTGTCTTTTAAAAAAATAGGCCATGACGCTTCTGTCTTGTTCACTGGGACACTCTTGGAGCCCTGAAATGAGGTGTAAAAAGCCTGGTTGTCCCAAGGCCACCATGTTGTGAAGAAGTCCAGGCCAGTGGAGAAGCCACTTGTGGATGCTCAGCTTACTGTCAAGCACGCAGGAAGTATGAAAGAGAAGGTCCCAGATGAAAGACAGCCTACATGTGGGGACTCTGGCCAACAGTCCCAGCTGAGCTTAGCCACAGGTGCCAATCTGGGTGCCAGATACAGTCTTCCCAATTGAGGATCTGGCAATAGGGAACCAGAAATGAACTGGGTTAGGTCATTTTGCACTGCTATAAAGAAATACCTGAGACTGGGTAATTTATAAAGAAAAGAGGTTTAATTGGCTCTTGGTTCTGCGGGCTGTATAGGAAGCAAGGCACTGGCATCTACTTGGCTACTGGGGAGGCCCCTTAGGGAGCTTTCACTCACTGTGGAAGGTGAAGTAGGAGCTTGCACTTTGCATGGTGAAAGCAGGAACAAAACAGAGTTGGAGGGGTTGGGAGCCGGAAGGTGCCACACATGTAAACAACCAGATCTCAAGACTACTCATTCACTACTGCAAGGACAGCACCAAGCCATGAGGGATCCGCCCCCATCACCCAAATACCTCCCACCAGGCCCCATCTCCAGCACTGGGGATTACATCTCAACATGAGATTTGGAGGGGACATTCAGATGATATCCCTGTGTGCTTATCCCTGTTGTACCCATCCAAGTTCCTGACCCACAGAATGTGTTGGCCTAATAAAATTGTTGTTTTAAGCCACTAAGTTTGGGGTGGTGTGTTAAATAGCATTAGATGGCCATAACATCCTGCAATTTGACAGAGCCTACAAGCTCGTGGGCCCAAGAGATAACTGTTTTACTCTAAACAAGATGGATATATGTCACTTCTTGGCTGTTTTAACTTCCATCTGCTAATGCTTTTGAGAAAATCAGTTAAAATTATCTTAATCTTCCCAGTAACATGGCAGATTAGATGGCCTAAACAACCCTTTTAATAAAAAAACTAAAAATGCTGAAAAATTATGAACATTTTTATAAACACACTGGTGAGCCCACATGAAAATGAGGAATTTGTAAAGATTCTAAAAAATAAAGTGAAATGGGCCAGGGCCAGTGGCTTAGGCCTATAATCCTAGCACTCTGGGAGGCTGAAGGTGAATTGCTTGAGCCTAAGACTTTGAGACCAGCCTGGGCAGCATGGTGAAATCCCATCTCCACCAAAAACAATACAACACTTAGCCAGGCGTGGTAGTGCATGCCTGTAGTCCCACCTACTGGAGGCTGAGATGGGAAGACTATGTGAGCCCAGGAGGTGGAGGTTGGAGTGAACTGAGAGCACGCCACTGCATTACTACAGCCTGGCTGATAGAGCCAGAGCCTGTCTTAAACAATAAATGAAATGAGAGCTAGAATTCTGAGAATTGAGCAACAAACCTGACTTTTAGACTGCTAAATCCTAGAGAACATAAACTTACACTTTGGCAGCTACCTGGAAGCAGTAAAGACAAAGCCTAGGGCCTGCCAGTGGGTGGGGAATATTCTCGAAGGAAACACTTTCAGGATCCCAGTTTCCACCCTCAGTATAAGGCTAAATAAATAATGAAAACACAGAAGCAAATAAAAAGAAATTATTTCTCTTCTGGATGTTGTGACTTTAATCAAGCGCTAATCTTCTAGGAAGTCCAAACCCCTTAGTATGACACAAAGTCAGCCATAACCTGGCCTCAAGATAATTAGCCCCTAAACCTCATTCGCAAGCCATTCATTTTGCTACTATACTATTCACTTTTATACGCTAGACTATGCCTTTATATGTGCTATTCTGTTTAGATCACACTTTTTTTTCTTAAGAAAGTAGTTACTTTAAATATACCAGTTATAGGACTCCTTTCCTGGCCATAGTTAATAGCGTCCTTCATTCTACTCTCATAGTATGTTGAATGTGACATAATTATAGAACATACTACCTGTATTGTGATTTTACGTTCTGATTTTTCCACTGGACCAAGAGTTCATTTGGGGCAGTAACTTAGTCATATTTGTAATCGTGCCTTGCTTATAAGTGAGCAATTTGGATTTTCTGAAGGAAAGTGTAGTCTTCTGGAGATGGCGAATAGAAGGATGGTTAACAGAGGCCGGGAAGGGTTGCAGGGGGTGGGGGTGGGGGGTGGAGGTTTGGGCGGGGGAGTTGGGATGGTTAATGGGTACAAAAAAATTGAATTAGTATAACTAGCATTTGATAGCACATCGGAGTAACTACAGTCAATAATTCTACATTTAAAAAAGAGTATAACTGGATTGTTTGTAACAAAGGATAAATGCTTGAGGTGATGGACATTCCATTTACCCTGTTGAGATTATGTACTGCATGCCTGTGTCAAAACATCTCAGGTAGCCCATAAATGTTTACACCTGCTGTGTACCCACAAAAGCTTTAAAAAACTAAACCACTAAAAAATGATTAACCTGGAAAAAAAAAAAGTGTTTTGTTCCTGAAGTAGGATTTTATCATATTCTTTGTAATTTTCAGGCTTCCCTGAGCTGTAGCTCAGTGGTTCTTAGTTTTAGCTGCACATTAGAATCACCTGCAGCTCTTTTCAAACTTTCGCTCCACAGCTGGGCCCAGGCATTAACGTCTAAAGCTCCCCGGGTGATTCCAGCTTGCCTCAGGGGCCCTTCCAGCAGCTCCAACGCTGGCTGGTGTGCGCTCAAGCTGTCGGGAGTCGGCCCAGCTGCACAATTAATACGTATGTATCCTAGGTTCTTCTCTCCTTCCAACGCAAATAGGCGCACAGACGCTGCCTGGAACCGCAGCCCAGTTCTCAGAACCAAACTGCGCCTCACTGGCCAAAATTTCAGAATTAAATTCCCGAAAGTGGATAAGCGGAAGCGGAAATAAGCCCCTTCCCAGCGCCAGATGATTCGATTTAGTCCCCGAGACGGCTGGGGACTGGGCACCAGCATCAGAGAGACACATTCCCTGCATCGGATGACTGGAGGAACGCAACACCAGACGCAGGCAGTACTTCAGAGTGATGATAAGTCTCCCAGACATCCACTACAGCCCGTTCTCCCTGCTAAGGCGACTGCACTGCCATCTTGATTCTTGTTAGCCACGCAAAGTTTGTGTTTGCACAGATTTTCCGACGTCATATTAAAGCGCGCCGGGCGCGGAGACTTCTGGGATATGAAGTCCTTGCGAAGGCAGAGCATTGATTGGCAGCGGTCGCGAGGACACTCTGCGCAGGCGCGTTGCTTTCCAGACCTGAAGAGACGCCGTCTTCCCGGGTCCCGAGCACTCTGTGCCGGAGGTGAGGGTTGCGGGTGTGTGTCTTCAAGGAGCGGAGTGAGCGCAGCAGCCGAGAAGGGGATATGAGAACCGTGGGGAGGTGTTGTGGGAGCAGAACGGGGTGACACGGGCGAGGCCAGCCTGCAGAGCGTGTGTCGCGACGTCCCGGTGCGGACGGAAAGTTATGCACCCACCCCTGTGTGTGCGTGTGTCCCGTGGAGTCTGGGCACCCATTGTCTGTCGGGTCCCGGACTTTTAGGTTGGAAGTTTGGAGTCTTCCTCTGCCCCTTCTGTTCCTTCTTCCCATACTGGGTGCTTAATGAACGTGGGTGGAGTTGACACCAAATCTAGGGTGCTGCCCGCTCCCTCTTTCCCAGAAAGCTCCTCAGATTGCCTCATTTAGCTCCCTGCCCTGGGCCTCCGCATTGGTGCTGGAGGGCTTCATGGAGGAGGAGGGATTTGATGTGAAAAAAACACCAAAGAAGCAGCTGAGCGTTAGGCAGATTTGAGCTGGAGATAATGTTTTACAGAAATGCAGGAACAGTGGTAGACAAGGTTGAAGAAAAGGTACGCTGGGAGCCAGGGCCTGGGACTCAGAATCAGGACAACACCCAGTGGGCAAGGTGGCTTGTATAGGTGTGATCCAGGGACTTACATGAATCGAACTATTTGGGGGCAGTTATTCTAGAGGTCACATTCAGGACCAGAGAGACGAAAGGACCAATAGCAGAGCCAGTCAGGAATGTATTGTAGTTTTGAAGTAAGCTGTCGTGGACTTCAATTATGGTGGTGGTAGTGAAAGGGAAGGATACAAATGACATTGCAAAAAAAGAGTCAAAAGAGCCTGGTGACTAGATTTGGGAGGAAAGAGAGTGAGATAAGGGTTTGAATTTGGGACACCTGGGAGAATAATAAAACATCTGATACAAATGTAAAGCCAGGGAGAGGCGTTGATGTGGAGAATTGCCTAAAGATCGTTTTCAGGTGATGGCAGAATGCCTAATTCAAGGTTTGCAGACATTTGGAAATGCAGGATGAGTTTGGAAGAATGCAATACAGTTGTATTATAAAATTGCAATACAATTGTATTGTAAAATTACAATTGTAATTTCAGTCTGGCTGAAATTACTGGATATGGAGACCATCTCTGTAGAGTTGGAAAATGGAGCCCTGACTGTGAATGTACTTTCTGAGGGATGGCCAAAAGAAAGAAGAAAGTACAAGACTGAGCTATGGGCAGCATCCATGTTTCCAGGGCAAAAGTGGGGAAAACGAGTCACAGAGAGACAGCAATTTTAGTGGTTGGAAAAAAGGCTAGTGTAGTATCATAGCAGTTACAGTAACCATTCAAACAATCAGAAGCTTGTCAGAACAGTGAAACGCTGCAGAGAAATAAAGATCAGAAATGCATCGGTAGGCTGGGCGCGGTGGCTCCCGCCTGTAATCTCAGCACTTTGGGAAGCTGGGGTGGGCAGATCACTTGAGGTCAGGAGTTTAAGACCAGCCTGGTCAACATAGTGAAACCCCGTCTCTACAAAAATACAAAAATTAGCCGGGCATGATGGCGGCTGCCTGTAATCCCAGCTACACGGGAGGCTGAGGCGGGAGAATTGCTTGAACCGGGGAGGCAGAAGTTGCAGTGAGCGGAGATCACACCATTGCACTCCAGCCTGGGCGACAAGAGTGAAAGTCCGTCTCGAAAAAAAAAAAAGGAGAAATGCATTGATAGTTTTCAAGCATGCCGTTTCAGATGTGAGGGTCAAAAGCTGAAAAACAGGGATTGGAGAAGAGTAAATGGTGACGATGTGGAGTCCGTGTGTTTGTATTACTCTCCAAAACGTTTGAAAAGGAAAGCCTAAATGAGAACTGTTTTGCTAGTAGGAGGTCATGGGATTCAGTGAAAATGGTTTCAGGTAGAGGAGGCTTGTATGTCTTTGAAGATGTCGACAGAAAGTGCTAGTGGTCTGGAAAATGCTGGGGAAAAAAAAAAAGATGGAACCTTGGGGACAAATTCTGAGAGGAAGCAATAGTGGAAAAAAAAAGTAGAACATAGTCCTGGAGACAGACATTTCTGTCTTCTTGACCTCACACATCTCGCTGCCTAGCATATAACAGCTACTTGATACCTGCTTATTGAATAGTGGGATGAGTGGATGGATTGCATTGGGCAGTGGAAAAGAAGAGAACTTTTATTTGTTGAATGAACTGTATGATAAATGCTTTATATTAATGGTCTCACCATTTATAACTACTCTGTGAATTAGGTATTAAGCTACTGTGGGTCAACTATTGGCTTAAGTAACTCACCCAAGGCTTCATGGTTAATAATTCCATGCCTGGAGAATGCTTTCTACCATATAGCCCTGCTTCCCTTAAAACTCATTCCTAGGAATCTTCGGTATAGTAGAAGACAAAAGTTATGAGGAAATTGAATGGTAGCCATGGAGGTTTGGAATAGCTATGTAGTAAAGAAGAGAGATTTGGAATAGCTATGTAGCTAAGGTGGGAGTAATAAAGGCTTTTTGGACAATGTCAATGGCTCATTTGAAGATACAGACTGAATTTAGAGGACATTTCTCCAGTGAGACTCAGATCCAAAGGATAGGAAAAGAACACAGAAGTGGAGGTGATTCTTGGTTGGCAGTAACTCCATGTGAGTTTGGTGGACTTGGAAAGTCTTCAGTGTTAGTGGGCTTACTGAAGTGACTGCGGGTGGAGTCTACTTGACAGAGAACCTATGGATGAGGAACGCTTTGGGAGTATCAACTGGTTGTTTAATAGCTGGGGAGCTTACATGCTCACCACCATTTGTAATTTGTTCAATCCTCAGTTTAATTAAAGTGGTACTCTAATAAAACTTTGAAAATTGTCTTTACACATTTAACATTGAGCAGTTTCAACTGCAGTTTCTGATATGGTTTGATTTGTTCTAAAAGCTCCAGTGCTTTAGACAAACGTATACAAATACTTTGACTCCAATGTTATTACTACACTTAAACCTACTCTAAAATAGCAACAACTCAATGTAATTAATATTTTCATTATTTCTACCATCCTAGAATTATAACATTTTTACTGATTACATTAGCTTATACTAACTTAACACATTATTCTAAATGCGTTAGTTACATGTATTACCCTATTTAAGCATCAAGATGACTGCATGAAATAGGTACTTCCATTATTCCAGTTTTGTAAATGGGCAGACTGAGACAGAGGTTAAGAAACTTTCCTGCGGTAGCACCGGTAGGAAGAGGCAGAGGTGGATTTTGATTTCAGGCAGTCTAGCTCCAGAGCCGGTACTCCCGATGACTACACTTTCCTACATCTCTAAATGCTAATTTTGACTTCTTTCTAGGGCCTAAGGCTAATATTTGGATACCCTCTTGGGGTGGAGGAATCTTAACAGACCAAAAAGGAAAAGAATACTCTTACATGAGCCAGGTGTGGTAGCTCACACCTATAATCCCAGCACTTTGGGAGGCCAAGGCGGGCAGATCACGAGGTCAGGAGTTTGAGACCAGCCTGGCCAACATGGTGAAATCCTGTCTCTCCTAAAAATACAAAAATTAGCCTGTCACAGTGGCAGGCACCTGTAATCCCAGCTACTGAGGAGGCTGAGGCAGAAGAATTGCTTGAACCCAGAAGACAGAGGTTGCAGGGACCCAAGATTGTGCCACTGCACTCCAGCCTGGGCAACAGAGCGAGACTCCAACTCAGAAAAAAAAAGAAAAAGAAAAGGAAAAAGAATACTCAGACAACACGTTTGCAGGCTCTGGTTATCAATTGATAACACGTCTGTGTTTCTGTTGATGACATGTCTTTGTTTCTGTTTGTGTTTATATCACTCTGCCTCCTAATCTCACCCCCCGCCCCCATCAGGTTGGGGGTGTTTTTTGGTTTTTGGCTTATACTTAGCTAAACTTGTATTTCCAGTGAGTTTTTGCTTTTCACGTAGTTCTTACAAGTTGGTATTCACCCTCAAGGTAATATTCTTTTAAAATTTTGCTTGGCCAGTGTGAACCCATTGTTAAATAACTCTGAGCTATCTGGTAACTTTTAATTCTATGCTATAATGATTTATTTTCATGAAAAGATAGCCACATCGGTAACAGACCAACAGACTAGAGCAGAAAATCCTGAAACATCCAAGAATATGATAGGCCCGTTATAGAATAGAGTTAAACGCTGGCAGACTGGTAAATATCTATTGACCTGGTCTTCGACATTTTTGAAAACTTAATTGTTTCTTATTTGTATCTTATGATTAACAAGTTTAGCTGTAGGGCTCATCTCCTAAGGGAGAAAGGATGAAGTCTACACAGTTACCGAGCCTCTTTGGAGCCAGAGGTTGGTTCATTGTTAGTAGCACCCATTCTTCTTTCTACCTGATAATTACATGTGGCCCCAGTACTGATTAGTCCTCTCCCTTTGGGGTATGTAGTTCTGTGTCTGGAATTACCTGGTTTATTTGCATTCGAAATTTCTTTTTGCTTACTTCTATCAGTAGATACAAGTATATATTTCAAGGGTACATCTATTCTTTATGAATAGTCATACAATTAATAGAAAAAAGTGCCTTTTTATATAACTAAAGTCTCAAACATTGCCTTCCTTATAACCTTTTATGGCATATTTTATATTAACTTTTCTATTTTGAGTATGAAACGCATAGCCTTTTAAAGTTCAAATTATTTTATTTAGCAGTAATAATTTTTATTATTTATCTGGCCAGTGGGAGCCAGAGTCATCTGAGTTTTCTTATTTAAAGATGTGGGGTCAGCTCAAATTCTGAATGTCCAAAACCGTACTCATTTGTTTTCCCTTCGGTCCTCCTTCTCTGTTGCTTATCTCCGTGAACGACATCGTCATCCACGCTGCATCGGTAACCTGGGCATCATCTTTGCTCTCATCAACTTCGGCCTCTTCTTCCTGCCAGTATATTGTCTGTTTTTAATAGCTTGACAGCAGTTTCCTCTATTTCTGCTTTCACAGCTTTCATTCAGTTCATCATCTTTCTTACTACAGCAGTATCCTCACTGGTCTACTTACCTCTATTCTTTCCTTCCTGTAATCCTATCACAACAGCCACTCACTGTGGTGTGGCCACCTGTGTTGGGATCCCCAGGATCACCCCAGGTTTAGGGATTCACTAGAAGGACTCACGACTTGACCCATAGTTGTACTTCTGGCTAAGAGTATGTTGATGACCCTGCAAGGATATGTAGCCAGATCATAAGGGGAAAAGACAGGCCAGGTAGAGGAATCCATATATAGGTTTGTGTCTATTCTCTTTCTCCCATGAGGGGTCACACAGAACACAGTTTTTTCCCCAGCAATGAAAATACAGCAATGAGTGTTATGTCTCTGCTCAAGGAAGCTCATTGGAGACTCAGAGCCCATGTTTTTTTATTGAAGGCTGGTCACATAGGTACCGTCTGCCTAACACATACCAAAATTCCATACCCTCCAATAGGAGAGCAGATGTTCACCATAAACCACATTGTTTGCACAAATTAGTCATAGTAGACCGCCGTTCTCTCTTAGGGATCTGGGGAACCCTCTCAAAATCGAGGTTTCTAGCTGCCAGCGAAGGGCCAGCATGCATGCAGAACTTTCTAGAAATAGAAGTCTCAGGTCTACTATAACTTTTCTACACATCACCCTTCTTTCCTTCCTGTTATTTTTTCTGTACACCAAGATAAGGACAAACTCTTGTTGAAAAAAATATATAAAGAATGGTAAGAAAGTAAAAATCACTTATCTCACTACTCAAATTTCATTTACATTTTAGTATGTGTTCTTCCTTTTTCTATACTTATGTGCATGCACAAATATGTAATTTTAAGAGTGTGCATTCTTAGTATTTTTTGAAATTCTTTGTGGGTT